GCGTCCCTGCCGGCTGCTCTGGAATGTCCCTGGAGAGGCCATCCGGGGCCTTATGGAGGAGGAGTGGAGGGGGGGCGTGGGGAGTTCTCCCAGCAGCAGAGGCCAGAAGCACGGTTCTCAGGACTGTTTTCCCTCGGGAAGCGGAGAAGAAGGAGCAAATCACGTGCGCCCTGAGTCTGTGTTTTTGGGAGCAGCCCACTGGGGCCCTCGCTAAACACTCCCTCCCGCTCGGCACCATCCAGCATCGGCAGCTCGGAGGCTTCCTGCTTGCCTGGGGGAGAGCGAGCTCAGCCTGGTCCTGCAAAGAGGTGCTCACCGCCGTGCTGAGTCTCCTTTGGAGAAGAGGGGACAGAAAAACAAGGATTTCAGGAATCCAAACCAAAAATAGCAGCGGGGGGGGGGGGAACCACTCAGAAAATCCCCTAACCAAAAACATACAAGAAAGAAAAAAAATTGAGAACGGCTCGGGGACACTGAATTGTCTTGAATTGGGAGATTGGAGGCGGGTTGCTGGCTCCCACCCAGAGGCTCCAGGGAGACAGCGAGTTGGAAGAAAGCTCATTGCAAGTCCTGCTTTGCTTCTTTTCCAGCCAGCATCCCAGGCAGGGGCAGGTGTCCCGGGATACAGTCGAGGTGCTAGAAAAGTCCTTCCGGGTGCTGATGGAACCACTTGGAGCAGCCGCCTTTGTGCCCGACGTCAGGGCCTCCCTCCCCCACCCTGCCCGCCTGGGGGATTAAAGGTGCGGTTGTCTGGCTGGCTCAGTCCAGTAGAGCCACTCTTGATCTCGCGGTTGAGTTCAAGCCCCACGTTGGGTATAGAGATCACTTAAAAATAAATTCTGTAAGGGGCGCCTGGGTGGCTCAGTCGGTTAAGCGACCGACTTCAGCTCAAGGTCATGATCTCACAGTTCATGGGTTTGAGCCCTGCTTCAGGCTCTGTTCTGACAGCTCAGAGCCTGGAGCCTGCTTCAGACTCTGTGTCTCCCTCTCTCTCTGACCCTCCCCTGCTCACACTGTCTCTCTCTTTCTCTCTCTCAGAAATAAATAAAACATTAAACATTTTTTAAAAAATTAAAAAAAATAAATTCTGTAAAAAAAAAAAATAACAAAGCTCGGAAAGACTGCCTCTTCCCAAGGCCATCCTGAGTCTAGATACTGACGTCGGTAAAATTTGCAGTAAAGGAGAGAGAAGTCGGGCGGCATCCGGAGGGGGGATTGGGGTAGGGGAATTTTCTTTTTTATTTCTTTTGTTTTGTTTATTTATTTCGAGAGAGAAAGAGAGAGAGCAAGCAGGGGAGGAGCAGAGAGAGAGGGAGAGGGAGAGAATCCCAGGCACGCTCTGAGCTGTCAGTGAGGAGCCCGATGTGAGGCACGTACTCACAAACTGCGAGATCATGGCCTGAGCTCAAAGCAAGTGTCCGACGCACAACCGACTGGGGTTCCCAGGAACCCCAGGAATTTTCTTTTTTAAAGATGGGAGAACATGGCATGGTGGCATGCTGATGGCAGTCGTAGGGGCCGCTTTGAGGCAGACAGGCTTGAGCAATGGAATATTCAGGAACGTTGAAAGGGCCCACAATGACCACCGGGCTGAACACAGACAGGCCCAGCAGGCGACCACCTCCATATACCCACAACTAACCCATGCGCTGCTTACAGCCAGGCCATTACCAATAAGGGGGAGGATTCCATAGGTGGCCATACCTCCTCATCTTCCCCCTTTATTTTATTTTATTATTTTCTAATGTTTATTTATTTTTGAGAGAGAGACAGAGGGGCAGAGAGAGATGGAGACAGAATCCGAAGCAGGCTCCAGGCTCTGAGCTGTCAGCCCAGAGCCTGACGTGGGGCTTGAACCCATGAACCGTGAGATCATGACCTGAGCCAAAGTCGGACGCTCAACCGACTGAGCCCCCCAGGCACCCTGGGAATTTAATTTTTCATTTGCCTTTGTTTCCCACATCACATGGCCAGTACTTAACCTTACATCTTGATAAGGGTGATAAGGGCTCCAGGAAACGGAGTCTATAGGTTTCTGGAGATTAGGCTCTGGATAAGATTGCCTTTTGCTTCCAGTTTACTAAGTTCTCCGTAAAGTGAAGGAGACTCCTGTCCTGTATGGCTGTGATCTCTATCCACCAACCATTTGTTTTCTTTCCTTTATTTTTGGGCAGCCGGGAGTGTCCAAGGAATATCACACATATCCCACCTTGGGTGTGTGTGGGGGGGAGCTGTTAGCCTGTACTTTGCCCTCAGCCTGCCTTACATTCCCTCCTCACTTTTACCTCCAGCCTGACCCCATTTCCCCATGCCTGTGGGGTTTGCCATAACCCCTCTGCCTGAGTGTCCCTTGCAAGAAGTTTCTACATGCCCTTCATGACTCAGGGTGGGCGTAAGCTCCCCTGTGTGGCAGTTTCTTCCTCTAGTGTGTCTTGTAATGCCCTCCATGAGAGGGCCTGCCGCAGGAAACAAATGGTTCATGGATTTATTTATGAGTTTGTTTCCCCAGTTGGTTGTTTCTCCATCTTTTCTTTTGAATAGTTTTTTAAAACTTTGTTTATTTTGAGAGAGAGAAAGCATGAGCAGGGGAGGGGCAGAAAGGGAGAGAGAGAGAGAGAATCCCAAGCAGGTTCCCCACTGTCAGTGCAGAGCCTAACGCAGGGCTCGATCCCATGAACTGTGAGATCATGACCTGAGCTGAGAGCAAGAGCTGGGTGCTTAACCGACTGAGCCACCCAGGCACCCCTGTTTCTGCATCTTGGAGGACTTACAGCCCTTCCTCTTTGCTCCCCTGAACACATCTCCATGACAGCGTGTGTTCTATCTATTGTTCTATGACCTTAGGGCTCGGTCTCCTCATTTGACCGAGCTCCTTGAATGGAGATTTGTCTTGCAGGTCTCTAAGCCCCTGTCTCATGTGCTGCCTTGCCTGGTAGATTCCACGTTTGCACAGTTTGTGCCTTCCAGGCTTATATGACTTCTAGAAGCCCAGTCCTCTCCTCACCCCCTCTGAGAGGAAGGGAGAAGGGAGAGCAAATGCTGAGGGAGTAGGTTTGCTGCCCTTGTCATTAGCCACAAAGCCACTAGGGGGCAGGGAACTCCCATCCTACCCCTGACCTGAGCACAACCAGCCTTCTGCGCAGAAATCCATTCTCCACAAGCCAATGTGCTAAAATATCAGGGGTTTTTTGTTTTGTTTTGTTTTGTTTTTTTCTGCCAAATGGTCCACTCAGCAAATAATCAACTTGCTAAATCAATGAGGAGTTATTTGAAGCTGTGGTTTTACCTGAATGCTCCCCAAATGCTTAATATTTCAGAACAAGGGAGCTTTTTCTCCATTTACTGTTTTCTCTATTCTGGGGAAATGGTATCCCACCAGGCAGTGACTCTCTGCCCCTGAACTGACCCTCGCTTCTGGAAGCACCACAGCTGGGATGATCACAGGGTGGGATTGCTGGACCCATTGCGACAGAGCAGCCCCTCAAAACCTGGTCAGAGCCCCCACTGCTCCTCCTTTCGCAGGGTCTCCGGAAGTCTGGGTACCACCTGACACCTTTCAAAGACCAAGCCTGCTGTGATGGCATGAGTTCAAGGCCTTGGATCACCAGACTCTGCATTCCCATGAAAAGTGCTGTCAGGCGGTTGGACCTCCAGGACATACCCTAAGCGAAGAAAAGGCTAGTCACAAAGGACAAACACCCTCTGGTTCCACTCCCATGAGGTCTCTAAAGCCCTTAAAATCACAGAAACAGAAAGTAGAGAGCTGGTTTGGGGAGGGGAGGGGAATTAGGGGCTAAGGAGTGCAGAGTTTCATTGTCGTGGGCTCGGAAAGTTCCCCAGCTCTTGCACAACCAGCGAAGGTCCTTGAGGCTCCTGAACTGTGCACTTAAAAATGGCTAAGATGGCGAGGCGTCAGGGTGGCTCAGTCAAGCCGAGGACTCCTGCTTTCGGAGCAGGTCCTAATCTCACAGTTCCTGAGTTCGATCCCGGGATCCTGGAGTTCAAATCCCGCTGAGAGTGCAGAGCCTGTTTGAGATTCTCTCTCTCTCTCTCTCTCTCAAAAATAAATTTTTAAAGATGGCTAAGATGGTAAAATTCTGTAATGTTACGGTGTGTGTTGTTGTTTTTTAAAAAGACCATAATGGGGTGCCTGGGTGGCTCAGCGGGTTAAGCACAGCGTTCTGCTAGGGTCATGATTTCTCAGTTCATGGGTTCGAGCCCCCTGTCCGGCTCTGTGCTGGCAGCTGGGAGCCTGGAGCCTACTTCAGACTCTGTGTCTCCCTCTCTCTCTGACCCTCCTCTGCTCACATTCTGTCTCTCTCTCTCAAAAATGAATAAATATTTTAAAAATAAAATAAAAACCATAGTAAAATAATAGTCTTTCTCAGTGTTGGGCTTCTGTAGTAGGCAGCCTTCGGATACTATTACCACTCACAAAAAGGGTTTCCTTTATAAAGCTATTGGAAAGCATGGAGGCTCCAGCATTTCAAATGTTAGCCTGGCTCTAGGAAGGAACCATTTAGCCTGGGAAGCAGCGCGTTCCCCAGGTCGGGTTGGAGGGTCCCCCAGGAGGGGTGTGAGGCCTTGCTGGAGGGTGGGGGAGGGGGAAAGGAAAACAGAGTCTCCCTGTTTCCTCAGTCTTGGGAAGGGGTCCCCGGGGTGCCGGACAGCAGCCGGAGAAGAGCCGCCTCCGCACCGGCCAGGCTCAGCCTCTCCAGGCTCCACGTGCGTCCCGGGGACCGGGGACCGCAGCCTCCGCACAATGACCCCCTCGGTGGGGGGAACCCTCCCGACGCCCGGCCCAGGCCCCGCGGCGGCGCCGCAGTCCCCGGCCGAGCTTCCGCTCTCGCGTCCGGCGCTTCGTGTCCCCGGAGGGGGCGGCCCGGGGGTGGGGGGAAGGCGGGGGGAGGCATGCTGGTACCTTGTCTGCACCCCGCGACCTGCCACCAGCCCCGACTTCCCCGCCCGCCCCTGAGGGCCCGCCCCTGCTTTCTCTCCGCGCCGCCCCCCTCCCGCCGTGGGGCGGCTGCCGGCGGGGCCCCGGCCACTGTCCCGGAGCCATGGAGCCGACGCTGCGCGCGGAGCCCGAGCAGGAGCCGGAGCCGAAGCCGAGGTGCGTGCGCGCCCGCGCGGGGGCGAGGCCGGGCAGGCCGGGCGGGCCGGGGAGGGGGAGGGGGGAGGGCACTGTCGGGTCCCCTCAACGGAGCACTCGGGGTGGCCAACGGGGTGGGCACTCGAGGTGCCCCAAACAAGACTTCTGGTTTTACCTACATCGAAGCCCCCTGGGCTCTCACCGCTGCTTTTCCCGCCTCCTGATGACCGCCTGACCTGCGGGGCTGGGACTGAGTCCTCCCCAGGCTGGGCTCTGGAAGCTTCTCTGGCCATCTCGTGGGCGTGAGCTGCCCCGGGTACGCCACAGATTCCCCGCCCCGTTGGGAGCTTTGCGTGGACGGCTGAAGCCACGTACCCCTTGGCTGTATCCTGAGGACAAGTGCAGGTTGATGCTGGAGAGCATCAACTATAGCTCTGGAGAGAAGGTTCTCTTTTCTCTCTCGGTTGCCTGGCTGGGGTCCCCAGACTGCTCTGGGAGATGGTCAGAGGGGAGCGTGGGTAAAGGAGAGAGTGAGGGAGGGGGGAGTTTTGTTCCCTTTTATCCTCAGAAAAATTTTTAAAAGTATTTATTTATTTATTTATTTATTTATTTTTTTTGAGAGAGAGAGAGAGAGTGAGCGGGGAAGGAGCAGAGAGAGACACAGAATCCAAAGCAGGCTCTAGGCTCTGAGCTGTCAGTACAGAGCCAGTTGTGGGGCTGGAACTCATGAACTGCAAGATCATGACCTGAGCCGACTGAGCCACCCAGGCACCCCTTAATATGTATTTTTGGGAGAGAGAAAGAGAGAGAACAAGCATGGGAGGGGGAGAGAGAGACGAGGACAGGATCTGAAGCAGGCTCAGCGCTGTCAGCGCAAGGCCCCACACGGGGAACCCAACCCATGAACCTTGAGATCATGACCTGAGCTGAAGTCAGCCGCTCAACCAACTGAGCCACCCAGGTGCCCCCTTTGCTCTGAGAAAATGCGGAAATTGACAGTTCCCAAGGAGGGGGGTAGGTTGGGTGGGCTCTTGATTCAATATGGCAGCATCTCTGGAAGTAGCTTAGCAAAGGCTCATTAATTTACTCACACTATGATATGTAAATGTATGATGTATGATATGATATGATCATGTAAAACAGGGGTACTGCCTTGGGAAATAAATTCCTTTTCTCTTTAGACCTGCTGGAGGCCTCTGCTTTCTTTAGCAATTTGCCCACTAGTGTCTTTTTTTTTCCTTAAAAAAAAATTAATGTACAAAAAATATCACGTCACTGGCTTGGGATACAATGTAAAGTTACTTCTCTTTTATTATTCAAAGTGACACCGCTTAAGTCACCATCTTCATTTCTCAAAACTGTTTTTCTTCCTTTCCTCACCCCTCTACCCCATGATCATTCATTTAACACCACTTATTAAGTCTATACTGTACGCCAAGCACAATATCAGGGACTAGGGACACAGAATAAGACAGGCATGGCCTCTGCTCTTACAGAGTTTCATCCCGAGGGCGGTGGAGAGAATACCGAAGTTAGATGAAGTAAGTACTATCAGACGGTTCTTACCGAACACCTTCTGTATGTCATAGATATGATGGTGAACAAGATAAAGTGGGCCTTTCTTCTCCTGGCACTTACTTCTCAGTGGTGGGGAGACAAAAAAGAAAGCAATAAGGAAGTAAAAGCACAATGTGAAAAGTGATTGCAGTAGTTGTTGGGGAGGCGGTACAGAACAGGGTGTGGGGGATGCAGAGTGCTGTTGGGATGCAGGGGGGTGGTTGCTCTTAAATGTAGGATGACGGAAGGCCCTCTGTCCCACAAGGAGGTGAACTCGCCTTGCGCGAATCTGGGGGAAGAGTGTTCTAGCTCAGGTGAGCAGCCAGCACCACGCCCCAAGGTTGCACGTTTGGGGAACAGCAGGGAGATCCATGTGACTACAGTAGACAAAACAGGGTGGAGAGGGGTGGGTGGGGGAGGAGATCAGAGAGGCAACTAGAACCCAGATGGGGTAGGGTCCTGTCGACCACTGTAAAGGCTTTGCTTGTTGTTTCGAGTCAGGGGGAAGCCACTTAGGGACTTTGAACTGATGAGTGACGTTATCTGTCTCTTGTTTGAGTAGGAGCACACTAACTGTTGACAGACCATAGATTCTAGAAGGGTGGAAACGAGGGGACCAGTGATTCTGTTACTGCAGAAGTCCAGAGAAGAGCTGATGATCAGATCAGTCTGGAAAAATCACAAAAGTCTTGACCCTGAGTGACATTTCAGCTAAGAGGTGTTGAGTGGGATGGAATTTTCCAGGCAGACAGGAGCGTGGTGCATGCTGGACCCTCTGGGGTAGTGGAGCTGAGGTAGCAGAGATGAGGTGGGGTCCCTGATTGTGAAAGGCGCCTGCAATACAGGCTACACATGCTTTTTATATCTATCTATCTATCTATCTATCTATCTATCTATCTATCTATCTATTTATTTCTTTATGAGTTTGAATTTTTTGTTATGGCCTTCTTTATTATTTTTTAAAAATTGTTTTAACATTTATTTATTTATTTATTATTTCCTTAAATAGTTTATTGTCAAGTTGGTTTCCATATAACACTTGGTGCTCATCCCAACAAGTGCCTTCCTCCATGCCCATCACTCCCTTTCCCCTCTCCCCCACCCCCCCATTAACCCTCAGTTTGTTCTCAGTTTTTAAAAATCTCTTATGGTTTGCCTCCCTCCCTCTCCTTAACTATTTTTCCCCCTTCCCCTCCCCTATGGTCCCCTGTTAAGTTTCTCCTGTTCCTCATATGAGTGCAAACATATGGCATCTGTCCTTCTCTGCCTGACTTATTTCGCTCAGCATAACACCTTCAAGGTCCATCCATGTTGCTACACATGGCCAAATTTCATTCTTATTACCATGTAGTAGTCCATGGTATAGATAAACCACATCTTCTTGATCCATTCATCAGTTGATGGACATTTAGGCTCTACCCATGATTTGGCTATTGTTGAGAGTGCTGCTATGAACATTGGGGTACATGTGCTCCTATGCATCAGCACTCCTGTATCCCTTGGGTAAATTCCTAGCAGTGCTATTGCTGGGTCATAGGGGAGTTCTAATGTTAATTTTATCAGGAACTTCAACACTGTTTTCCAGGGGGCCTGCACCAGTTTACATTCCCACCAACAGTGTAGGAGGGTGCCCGTTTGTCCACATCCTCGCCAGCATTGGTAGTCTCCTGATTTGTTCATTTTAGCCACTCTGACTGGCGTGAGGTGGTGTCTCAGTGTGGTTTTGATTTGTATTTCCCTGATGATGAGGGATGCTGAGCATCATTTCATGTGTCTGTTGGCCATCTGGATGTCCTCTTTGGAGAAGTGTCTGTTCATGTCTTCTGCTCATTTATTCACTGGATTATTTATTTTTTGGGTGTGAAGTTTGGTGAGTTCCTTATAGATTTTGGATACTACCCTTTATCCGATATGTCATTTGCAACTACCTTTTCCCATTCCATTGTTCCCTATGAGTTTTGTTGATTGTTTCCTTTGCTGTGCAGAAGCTTTTTATCTTGATGAGGTCCCAATAGTTCACTTTTGCTCTTGATTCCCTTGTCTTTGGAGATGTGTCAAGTAAGAAATTGCTATGGTTGAGGTCAAGGAGGTTGTTTCCTGATTTCTCCTCTAGGGTTTTGATGGTTTCCTGTCTCACATTCAGGTCCTTCATCCATTTTGAGTTTATTTTTGTGTATGGTGTAAGCAAGTGCTAGTTTCATTCTTCTGCATGTTGCTGTCCACTTTACCCAGCACCATCTGTTAAAGAGGCTGCAGTGACAAATATTTTATACAGATGTTGTTCTCTGGCCATAGAGTAATAATGTTAGGAATAAACAAAAAGATAGCAAGTTTCCCAATACATATTTATTCGTTATTTATTATTTTTTAATGTTTTATTTATTTTTGAGAGAGTGTAAGCAGGGGAAGGGCAGAGAGAGAGGGGGACAGAGGATTCAAAGTGAGCTGTGTGCTCATGAGGGAGCCTGATGTGGGGCTCAAACTCATGAACCGTGAGATCATGACCTCAGCCAAAGTCGGATGCTCAACCGAATGAGCCATCCAGGTGCCCCTCATTTTTAAATTTTGTAATCACTTCTCTTAATTTATGGATCAAAAATAAATGGCTAAAATTAGAACATATTTAAAACGAACCAACAAAAAGAGCGGAGAGAACAACACTATGTGGATGTCCATTCTTCTAAAACTAAGCCACAGGGACGCCTGGGTGGCTCAGTCAGTTGGGCTTCCAACTCTTGACTTCAGCTCAGGTGATGATCTCGCAGTTTGTGAGGTCGAGCCCCATGTTGGGACTCTCTCTCCCCTCTCTCTCTCTGTCCCTCCATGATTCGTGCATGTGCACACTCTCCATCTCTCAAAATAAATAAATAAAACTTAATAAAACTTTATAACTTAATAAAAAAATAAAACTAAGCTACAAATTCAATGCAGTGACATTCTAGATTTCAATAGGATTTCCTAAAGAAAATGAAAACTGATTTTCGGGGCGCCTGGGTGGCTCAGTCGGTTAAGCACCCGACTTCGGCTCAGGTCATGATCTCACGGTTCGTGGGTTCGAGCCCCACATCAGGCTCTGTGCTCACAGCCTGGAGCCTGCTTTAGATTCTGTGTCTCCCTCTCTCTCTGACCCTCCCCTGCTCACACACTCTCTCTCAGAAATAAATAAAACATTAAAGAAAATTAAAAAAAAAATGATTTTCAAAGTTCTACAGGAGATTAAAAAGCCAAGAATTCCACAACAATTTTGAACAATAGCAAGGTGTTAAGATCTGCTCTATCACGTAATGAATCTTATTTTAAAGTTATATTTTTAGTAGGATAACACTAAGTCATTTTGGTTTTAATAATTCAGACTTCCTGGTTCAAGGGGCACCTGGGTGGTTCAGTTGGTTAAGCGTCCGACTTCAGCTCAGGTCATGATCTCACTGTTACTGAGTTCAAGCCCTGTGTGGGGCTCTGTGCTGACAGCTCAGAGCCTGGAGCCTGCTTCGGATTCTGTGTCTCCCTCTCTCTCTCTCTCTGCCCCTCCCCAGGTTGTGCTCTGTCTTTCTCACAAATTAATAAACTTAAAAAAATAAATAAAAAGAAGGGGGAGGAGGTGAGAACAGGAGCTCCCTACTTGGGTCTGCCTCTATCATCAAGAAAACAATAGCATTCCCAAAAGGCCTAGGCAAATGTTCTCTCAACTGTCATTGGGTAGAACTGGGTCACATGGCCTCCCCTGGTTGAAAGGAAGCTGGGAGAGAGAGCTATTAGTTTCCTCTTGCTGTTGTAACAAATTGCCAGAAAGTTAGTTACTGAAAACCCACCAAGTTATTATTTTACAGTCTGGAGGTCAGAAGTCCTAAAATCAAGGTGTTGGGCAGCATCCTTCTGGAGGAGGCTGTGTGGGAGAAGCCATTTCCTAGCCTTTTCTAGCTTCTAGAAGCCACCTGCATTCCCCTTGGCTGGCGGCTCCTTATTCCATTTTCAAAACCAATCGTGCAGCATTTTCAAATCGCTCTCACTCTCTGACCTCTGCTTTTGTCCTCACATCTCCTTTTTCTTACTCTGACTTTCCTGCCTTCCTCTTGGAAGGGCCTCTTTGGGGGTGATTATATTGGATCCAAGATCCAAGATTACCTCTCCATCTCAAGATCCTTAATCACATTGGCAAAGTCCCTTTTACCATGTAAAATAACATAGTCACAGATTCCAGGGATTAGCACATGGACATCTGGGGAGGGGGCATTATTCTGTCTATCACAGTGTCTACATTTTCCCCAGCATGTATAATGGGTGATGGATATAGACAGGGTTGGTTTAGTGAGTCAACAGTGTTGGATGTCTCTTTTTCAAACGTTTGTTTATTCTGAGAGAGAGAGAGAGAGAGAGAGAGAGAGAGAGAGAGAAAATTATAGCACGTGGGCAGGGGAGAGGAAGAGAGAGAGAGAGAGAGAGAGGAGAGAGTCCCAAGAAGATTCTGTGCTGTCTTCGCAGAGCCCCATTTGGGGCTCTATCCCAGAAACCATGAGATCATGACCCGAGTTGAGATCAAGAGTTGGACTCTCAACCAGTTGAGCCACCCAGGCACCCTTACAGTGTTGGGCGTCTTACCAATATGGATTTAATTCAGAGACAAGAGCACAGAGAAGATTGTGGATTAAGATTGTGGATAAACAGGATTTCTTATCCGGATCTAGTCTGAGTTGACTTCAGTAGCCCACATCCGTGGGGAACAAACAAAAAGAATGCATTTTTCTTGCTGTTCCTCTATCCAGTCTTGCATGGGTTGAACACTGATGTGTTGCTTTTTGTCCCAGCAGAACGAGCCAGAGCCTGTGCCAGGAGAGGGGACCAGAGCCAAGCTGCCCCATGCCAGAACTGAGGCTTCTCCTCTTAGGCAAAAGAGGTGCAGGAAAAAGTGCCACAGGAAACACTATTTTGGGCAAAGCTGCGTTTCTGTCCAAATTCAGTGACCAGATGGTCACTAAAACATGCCAGAGAGAGAGTGTGGTCACAAAAGAGAGAAGGGTTGTGGTCATCGACACCCCTGACCTTTTCTCCTCAATGTCTTGTGCTGAAGAAAAGCCACGTAACATTGAACACTGCTTCGAGCTCTCTGCTCCCAGCCTCCACGTCCTGCTTCTGGTAATCCCCATCAGCTTTTATAAGTTTGAGGACATAGAGACAGCCAGGGGGATCCAGGAGGTGTTTGGAGCTAACGCCAGGAGGCACATCATTGTTGTCTTCACTCGGAAGGATGATTTGGAGAATGTTTCACTGCAAGATTGCATTGAAGGTCAGGACTCCCTTAAGGAGTTGGTTGAAAACTATGGAGGCCGATACTACGCTTTCAACAACAAGGCAAGTGAGGATGAGCGGGAGGTCCAGGTGAGGGAGCTCCTCGGCATGGCCCAGCGTTTGGTGGATGAAAACGGAGGACCATATATCGTGAGCCTCAGAAATGAAGGCGGTGGATGCCTGGTAAGAAATGCTTAAGGTCTGGATGTTTGTGGTTAGAGCTAGTGGGTTGAAGACAAGCACAGAGAAGTGAAATGTCACATTGTGTGGTGGAACGTAGGCTTTAGTTGGGAGCTGTTTATCCAGGATCTGGAAAGATGAGGCTCCAGACGGTAGGTTGCTTTGAGTATCACCTTTTGGACTTTGAAATTTATTGGCAAGTTAATGGATACGCTTGGGTCCTTACCTAAGTTTTTCCCTCACAGTATTGGACACACAAATAGACCCTTTCTTCCCTTGGCTTCAATACAGCTACACTCTTGTTGGGTTTTTTCTTCCTACTCTTTCTGCTTCCTCCAGAGATTGCTGAGTTCTCCTCACACAGCCTCTAAAAGTTGGCATCTTCAGGGTGTGGTTCTAGATTTCCCCAGTCCTCTGCCTTCCAGCTTTGAGCTCCATCAATTGCTAATGATTTCCAGATATGTCACTCCAGTCTAGGCTTCTCCTCTGAATCCTGTTGCCGTTTGATACCTCCACTTGGCTCTTCTACAGGATCTCAGGCTTCTCAAGGTCAAAACTTTTGGTTTTCCCTCTGAGATCTATGAGACTTCAGTTTTCCTCTCACCTGGGTAAGTGGTCGTGATGCTCATTATGCTCCTTGAACCTAAACCCGGAGGTCAGCTTTGCTACTACTACTAGCTGGCAGCTGATATTCGAGAAGTCATTAGGTCTGGTGTGATAGGTCCCTGGAATTCATGCACTTCTCTCCATCTCCACTGCCCCTGTCTGGTTCAAGCCAGCCTCCATTCTTGCCTGTACTGTTTTACAAACAACCTTCCCCTCATCCATTCTTGTGCCTTACTCCTCAATCCATTTCCCCTTTTTAAAAAAATTTTTTATTGTTTTATTTATTTCTGAGAGAGAGAGAGACAGCATGAGCAGGGGAGGGTCAGAGAGAGAGGGAGACACAGAATCTGAAACAGGCTCCAGGCTTTGAGCTGTCAGCACAGAGCCCGACATGGGGCTCGAAACCACGAACCAGGAGATCATCACCTGAGCCGAAGTCAGATGTTCAACCGACTGAGCCACCCAGGCGCCCCTCCTCAATCCATTTCCTACAAGACAGCCACAGTGGCATTTTATTTAATTTCTAGACTTGAATGGAAAATGTATTTGTAACAAAGGAGGATACAAAAATTCAGGCTTTTGTCTCTGAGGACCTCACGCTTCTGTTTGAGTGACTCATGCATGAGACATGAAGCAGTTCCTGATTCAGGGTAAGTAAATGAATACTGGTACAGACGAGTCTTTAAACACAGTATCCACGGCTGTAAAGCAAGCAAAACTCCAACGTGGGGGCAGTTTTGGTCAGAGTGAATCTTCGAGAAATGATGAGCGTTGAGCCCAAACAGGATGGAAATGACTTGAAGGAAGGCAATATTTATTGAGCACCTGCTAAGTTCCAGACCCATAGACTGACCAACTCTTCATACCCACTCAGTGTACTGATGTTCCATAGACGAGGACCTTGAGGCTCAGGAGAACTTGTCACTCTCTTATCTCCTAGGCCTGACATCCCTCTCTCTCTCCTGCATAGCCTCTGTCTCTCCCCTGAAGGCTATATGGAGCAGGGATTCAGCAGAGAGGATAAAGGAGCACAGAATGAGCTCTCTGCAGTGTAGCCGGAGCACCACTCCCTCTTGTTTAAAATGCTGCAGTGGCTGTCTGCTGGTCTTCAGATCAAGTTTGGAATCCCTGACCTGAGCTGGCCCCGCACCCTCTAACTTGCTCTTCATGTGTTGATCCCACCGGCCTTCCCTGTGTGGTCCTTGACTTGCACTCATGCGTGCTCTAGAGCTTCGAACGCGGGGTTTTGTCCACTGGGCCCTTCCCCTCTCCCGCCTACTCCGTTCCAGGTCTGCTTTTGTGTATCCATCTGCCTCTCCTCGAGCTCCCTTCCTCCGAGAGTCTTCCCTGCGGGTCCCTGGGATGAGCGCCTACAGCCCCCTTCCCTCACGGCGCTCCTCACCATCATGGCGCTCCTCCCCCTCATGATGCTCCTCCCCCTCATGGCGCTCCTCCCCCTCACGGCGCTCCTCCTCCTCATGGCGCTCCTCCCCCTCACGGCGCTCCTCCTCCTCATGGCGCTCCTCCACCTCATGATGCTCCTCCCCCTCACGGCGCTCC